ACGACGCTCTCTCTCTCTCTCTTCTCTCTCTCTCTCTCTCTCTCTCTCCTTCTCTCCTTCTCTCTCCCTCTCTTCCTCTCTTTCCTTTTCCTTTTCTTTTTTTCTCCTCTTTCTCTTCGCAGGGTCTTTATTGTTCACGCGAAGAGAATGCACGTGCATAGGACATGTAGTAGGTGCGACCGTAGTTTTGCGGAGTGGAAATGCATTAGGTAGATGGAACGCATAATTGGGGCCGCCGTATGCACGTGCATCCGCCTGCCGTATTTCTTTCTTTCCCTTTGTTTTTTATTCAATTTTTTTCTCCCTCCTCTTCCCCCTTCGTTCCCGCCCTCGCTCTATTTCTCCGTCTCACCCTCGCGGAACGCCCCTTGCCCGTTAACCCGTTTACCTTAACGCGTTAGATAAAAAACGCGGCTGTATTCCGCGTCGCTGTTCTTGACTCTGTTCGCGCGCGTGTTTTGCACGCGCACACGTGTGTTGCACGCGCCGTAACGTCGTCGACGCGACGGCATGATTTTTGCGCCTTTGCGGTCGGGAAACGCGTTGGTATAGGATGTATGCAATCGATCCGCACGTGAATGGAATCGCGAAAAAGCGCGGCGAAAACGTGCGGGCGTCGACTGCCGATTGCCAGCATCGAATCGCGATAAGCGCGATAAGCGGTGGCTCGCGGCAATCAATCGGCGATCGATCACGGGCGCGCGCCGCCGTTTCTCCTCGACATAATTACGGCATAATTATCTACCTGTCGGTCTTGATTACCGGTTAGCTTCGGTCCAAGTAGATTGACAGTACTTCCCACGAGCGTGCGTACTGTCTGCTCGCGCGAGCACCTACCGTGCACTGCAGCATTTGCGTGTGTATCGCGTGTACGTACGAATGTATGTGTGTATGTACGTATACATCTACGTACGTTATACGTTATGTACGTGTGTGTGAGATGACGTGTAAGCGCAAACGGAACAAAGCCACGTTAAGCTGGTTGCGATTGGTGTGTTGCAGACACGAGGTGCCTGTCACCTCGGAGCCGATCACGGTGATACACATGGACGAGGACGTCGTCGTGGTCAACAAGCCCGCCTCCATCCCTGTAAGTGGTGTACTGCCAGAACTGTACTGCCAAAAAATTGTTTGTCGTTATTGCCCACAGAAAACACATATATATGCACATGCATACACATATACGTGTATATGTGTATATATATATATATATATATGATACTCTTGCATGTTCCTCGATAGTTTCCACACAACCCATTTCAATTCTGAAGAATCCCAAAAGTTGTCTTTGCATATAAGTGTAAACGGAAAGAACAGTTTTAAAGTAAAGTATCTAAAAATTTAAGATCAGATCTGAAAATAACATTTGTTGGGATATCAAAATAATTATGTAGAATGCTCAAATTGATTACTAGAACATAAAAAATTTTGCCATCATCATATTTAACACAATAATCTTGATCCAACAAAATTATTTTTCGCAATAAGATATATTTCTGTAGCAAATTTTTATTGATATTATATTATTAAATATTACTAAATTAATTATCAAGATAGGGGAAATAGCTCTAGTCTTAGTTAGCTATATCGCAAGTCCGTTAATATAAAGCAATAATTGCTATAAGTCTATTAAATTTGTATTGTATAATATTGTAAGAGTAGAGCGCTTGTAAAAATAATTTGCCGAATCTTTGTCATATACAATGCTATTTTCCGTTTTTTTTTATTTACGCGCACAAGTGCCTGACAAGAACTTGGACTTGTCTAAACTAAGATTCAGACTACCATTGAAATAAATATATTTTACATTATCCGATGTATGAACCACCACAGAAGTGGGATCAACTCGCGTGATTCTTGTGTTAATCGCGATCAAAGTGGCAAATGCAGAATATACCGTTTTCCAATTGAAAAAACTGCGGGAGAAAGATCTGATAAGCAATAAAGCCAATTTGATTTTGCATTTGCAAAGAATAAATTCAAAAGTAAAATGATGTAACCAAAGAGATCCAACCGTGACTACAAATGCATTTTTTATATATTTCTAGTGTTTCAAATACATTTATCGCCCTATAAATATTTAAAATTATTTTCAGATCTACATGTGGCCAAATTAATAAATGCCTCGAAAATTGTTCATTTCGTGTATATAATCGGCTTTACCGAAAATTATTCCTGGAGCACGCTCCCGCGTGTGTTAAAGTTCCATCACCGTTAAATTTAGAATCTCCGGACTTTATTCTTTTGCATTCTCACTGATGAGGTTTTCCATCGCTTTGTCTAAATACATATTTAAATGTACCCCCTAAATTAAATTCTAGCGTGTCTCGACACAACCGGTGGCAGACTTTTGCTCCTTCAACGTCGACCTTCTGATTTCATTAGCGCATTCTTTTTTTCCCTCCAACTCTCTTCTCTTTTTTTTTTTTTCTTTTTTTTTTCGACGCGCGGAAGGCGACTAAATCGTCGCTAACGAGTCGTTTTTCAGACGATGACTAACAAAACAACGCGGTTAACAGATGTGTGCGTCAAATGCCAAGGGCCCCCGACGAGCTTCGCCTTTTTAAAATGCAACATTCCGACGTCACCGTCGTCGACCTCGCTCTCTCCTGATAACTTCCGGATACGAAACAATCACGTTCCGAAGGAAAGAGAGAGAAAGAAAGAAAGAAAGAAAGAGCGTGGAAAAAAAAGGGGAGAGAATTCACGCGCGTTCGCTGGCGGCTCGCATAAATGTCCCGCGATGCACAAATAAAACTCACTATTAAAATGTTAATCGCGCGCATTACGCCCGCTCGCAAATCACGGATAATTTACTCCGCGCTGTTATTGCCGTCCGCGATAATGTCGGGTCTACGCGCCGGAGTCCGCGTTGTAAAAAGCGTATAGGCAAAGGTTAGGGCGGCACCCGTGTTTCTCTGATGGCAAAATGGCAATACCGCGAGTCCGATGCATTAAACCCGACGGGTGATATCGGTAATTCGTTGGCGTAAATTAACGGTTACGGCGGTTTCCTCGAAACGAGTTTAAGAGCCCCGTTCGTTTTCCACCTCGTGGCGACTTTCATCCGCGGTTATTTCAATCCGCGACAATAATAATCCGCGCGATGGGGTGGAGAGAGAGGGAGGGGAGGAAGGGGGGCGTACATATATCCGCTGAAAAAAATATAACGCCAAAAAAAGAGGAGACTCATGGGACCGACTCATGAGACTTTAATGCTCTTTTCTTTTCTTTTTCATATTTTTTTTTCTCCGCTCTATTTTCTCGTTTTCGCTCCCGGGGCCGTTAGTTGCGGTTGCCACCGCAGTGGTTTGCAAGTTTTATTCTCCTACGAGGCTTCGCCCGGCGATAAATACGGCGAACCGAGTCCGGCCACCTTTCCTCTCAAATGTCAACCGAATACATCGGCGATCGTGTCCTCCGAGAGGGATCGTTAACGGGAGCTTGCGCAACAACAAAACAGTCGGGCATTAATGCAAAAATAATCCGAGGTGCAGCTAGATACTCGAGCACGAGCACGACGCGCGATTTAATAGTTACTTTGCTCCGTCCGTTTGCTTTCTCGAGTCTCGTTTTTTTCATTTCTGTCTTCTCGGGAAGAGATCTCAGGCCGTCCGACAATCAGCCAAATTAATTTTCACAGACATCGTTAAAATCGGTGTTATGCAATCGCGGAAGATCACGAGACTCTATCGTGCTTCCTCATCCTCTCATTCTCTTACGTAAATCACAGCAAAAGTAACAGCAAAAAAACATTTCGGCTTTTCTCGCCTCGCGTTAAACTTTTAAATTATTTTAACCGCAACTGGCACGACGTAAGTTGTAAGTTTGAAAAATTTTAATTATCCATTTATTTATTTATTAGAAAAACATTTTCCGTTCGGAGGAAATCCGGAAGTCCGGAACGTTATATAGTTTTGTAGATTCTAGTAGTGGGAAAATACGTCGCGGAAAAATTCGTCGCGCGTTCGTCAGCGTTAAAGGTTCATTCGCTCTTGCTTGGAATTCCCTCGTGGAACGAGGGAATACACAGGGAGGTGTGAAGTCATCGCGGCCGGCGGAGTAGAAAAGTGCCTTCGATCGCTTGGATTATTGTGGCGGTTCGCCGAGTCGCTCGGAGCATTTCGATAGCCCGACGGTGGAAGCATTATTGTGCATACGTGCAGCGCCGGGTGCTGATAGACGACGCAGACTTATCGAGCCAGGAAGAGTCCGATACGATCCGCCAGTCAGCCAGAGAGAGAGAGAGAGAGAGAGAGAGAGAGAGAGTCAGTCAGCCGGTCATTTGTTGTACCTACAAATCCGCATTGTCGACCGGAACGCATAAAGCGCGCCGCTCCCGCACCATGCAGATCCGAAACGATGAATCGATCCCCTTTGTAAGCGATTGCTTTTTGTCCCGAATTTGCCGGGAGAAATGGGTCGCCCTCTCGTATAGTATAGATACATATGCGCGTGTGTGTCGTACGTGTGTGCGTGCGTCGAATTTACGTTGGCCGCATGCCGATAGGCACGAGTAGCTTCATTAAGTAGCCTAAGCTCCGTAAATCTACCGTTCACATCTCATTTCCTGAAGATATTCCTGTTCCTTGCTTCACGGGGAAGGATAGTTTGTTGGCGCAGCAGATTCTTTTTGTGCTACTGCAGGAAAAAAATCTATTGGTCTATCATGTGGACAGCAAAGAGATTTGTTAACAGTAATGTTGCTAATGTTTGCAATAAGATAATTTTGATAAAATTATAAATTATTGCTACCCCCCATCTTTATAGATGATATTTTTAAAATATAATTTTAAATAATCCAGGTTACAGCAACACCTGAGACAGAGCTAAGATCAAAGTGCTTTTCCAGAAGAATAAGAAACTTATATGTTTATATAAGTCAATTATTCTTTCAGAAAAGGAAATTTCTCATTCAGGTTTTCTTTTTAAATCCATCCTAAATTCAAGCGCGGTATAAAAAATATCGAAATTAGAAGATGCAATGTTCACGTACTGATTAATACATATGGTCACGTAGAGATGAGCAAGATGACTCATGAGCTGAACTCATGACTTCCATGATACACAAAATGCGTAAAATAGCCGGTGTAAAAATCATCAAATGAAGTAATAGATCATGTCATACACAAGTCTTTAGAAAACTTGACAGTGATTAGCTGTCACAACAATGAACAGTTCCAATTGATTTTGCATATGCTCGAGGATGAGCTCCTCAACAATGAAAAAAAATTGCTCTGTTAGTTATAAATAATATATTGGCGTACTATTGGCAGGAGAGAAGGGTAAAGGGAATTCTCAGTATGGACGGCTATGCCAAAGACTTGCTCAAAATCATTCGGGTTCAAACATTTCAATTTCATATGGTAACAGTTTATACAAGATGGGACGGATCAAGTACAAATCACATTCCAATCTGTTACAAGGAACAAGTGTAAATTATAGATTGCACCTTTACAAAAATCCTGTAGCTCATGAGTTTATATGTCGTGTACAATTCACTGATGATATAAAACAGATTTGTTATACAATCTCTGATTTTGATATAAAATGGATTCAGTGATAATTTAAATTAAAATAATGTATCAATAATTAATCGATGAGAGAAGGATCTTATCCACTATGTCTAATGGTTTTAACAGTCTTGGACCTGCTATTGTTATTTGACAATTTGAATTAAATGATAATCTTGCTTGCTTGATTTATTTCTATATTACATAGCATGTTTTTTTACTAACCAGAAAGTAATAATGTTTGTTGATATATTGACATTTCACTGTTCATTGTATCTTCCCTTAATTTTATATCTTCAAATACAGCATTGGCAATAGCTTCTTCCAACTGTTGTTCTTGTTGAAGAGAAAATTGTATTTCAGTTCCAGCGAATGCATAAATATGCACTAAAAGTGCTAATATATTGTTTGTATTTAACCCTCTTTTTTCAGAGGTTTTTATTATATTACTTAACTGAAAATATTCGAAAAAAAATGCAATCTTACAAAAAATGAGAATGTAAATATTGAAAGTAAAAAAAAATAACTATGATAATTACTTGTCTAAGCACACTCGTAGAGTCGCGACTTACAGCTATATCTTGTAAAACAAGTTTTTCGAGACTAATCAATAATTCTAATCGGGAAGTTTTTTTTGATGTTAAGGCTTGTATAATTCCTGACACTCCCTGCAATTAAATGTTAATACATATATAAACTTTTAAGTTATATATAACAAAATAATGTCTAGGATTAATCTTATCGTCAAAACATATTACATAACTAAGTTTCAGATTTGCTTTTATTTTAATATTTTATTATTTTGTTTTTTATTATTGGAGTACATACTTGAAGTTTCTTGCTTGATTCAGATATAGCATGACGATCATTAATGTCTTTAAATTTATTTACAAGTTTCTCTAAACTATGCGCGGAGATCCTTGTTGCTAGTTTTGGTTTCGTAATTTCAAGTTTTCTTTTGTTGAAAATATATCACTGAGCATCTTATTTGTAATGGTCAATACTTCTTTTTGTTTTTTTGTGATTAACATATTCATTGGACTTTTGTCATTGCTAGCCAAACTGCCATCCTGGTACATTGATATATTCCTTTAAACTATTAAATAATTTTTATGCAATTTTCATGTAATAATATCTAGGTATAATATATAAGCTATTATACCTGTGAGTCGCAGAACAGTGGTGACATGTTTACATTGCAACATCGTTACGTGATGAGGTAAATGAGATAAAGTGCACAATATTCTGGCTAATAACGATTCAGTATTATTATTAGTAGAAGTACAAAGATCTAATGTTTTGTCAACAAAGATTAAAGATACTCCTCTTTCTTTTGCACCAACGAACATTAAAATAAAACAATTTTAATACATTCTAATATATCAATTATTCTCTTTTGACTATTTATAATGTAATGTCATTGTAATGTAGCATAATAGGCAACGCACTGATCTATGCTAGAAGCCCCGGCTTCGATTCCTAGCAAAGTCATTTACGCTCGCAGCAAAATATTTACGCTCGTCTTTTCTCGGAAAGGCAAACCAGAGAATAACTTTGCCATGAGCATTTTTCTATCAAAAATTACTGTAGCTCCCATATACCTATGTATAATCACCGTACGTACCATAGATATGTGAGAGAGATCACCACGCTCAGATGGGGACAGAGGAGGAGGAATCATTGTAATTATCCTTTGATAAACAAAATACTTACATTTCTACTGTCAATAGCCATTGATAACATTTCTAATTTCTCAGCAATGGGCTCACTAAAACTTTTCCCATTGAATAAATATCTTCTTTTAAATTCAAATATGTTAATAAACTATTAAATAAACTCACAAAAATGATCAACTTCATATTCGGAATCTTTTAAC